ATCATTATCTACAAAAAGTGGATAAACAAATAAAATACAGAATTAAGAAAGCGAAAGAACAATGGCTAAAAGAACAATGCTCAGAAATAGAAGAATACCGGAAAAGACATGATAAAACACATAAAAAGACATAAAAAAATTAAACAATTAACTCACAACAATAGAACAAGAAAACCGGGAGTAATAAAAGCTGCAAATGGGAAACTTGTGTTGAATACTAACGATAAATTAGAGAGATGGACAGAATACATCAATGAACTATTCAAAGACAATAGAAAAGAACAGATGGAGATATGGTTTTAAAGATATTAAAAGAGGAAATTAAAATAACATTAAAAAACAGCAAAAATGGTAAAGCATTAGGTCCTGATGAAATTCTATTAATGATAGAAATCTTAAAATGCATTAATGATGAAATCTTAGACATTATAGTAGACTTATTAAACTCAGTATACAAAACAGGACACATACCGAAACAATGGTTATTCTCCACCTTTTGTGCTATCCCTAAAAATACAAACGCTAAATATTGCAGTGAATACAGATCACTAATATCACTAATAAGTTACATTCTCAAATTATTCCTGAAATAATACATGGTCGTATAAATAAAAAACTGGAAGCAGGAATAGATGATAGTCAGTTTAGGTTCAGAAACGGACTAGGAATCAGAGAAGCGTTATTTTGCTTTTAATGTGTTAGCTTAAAGATGCATGGATATAGATGTTGATGTACATGTTTGTTACGTTGATTTTAAAAAAGCATTTGACAAAATAAGACATGAAAAATTAGTCCAAATTCTAAAGACAAAAAACATAGACTACAGGGACTTACGAGTAATAATCAACCTCTAGTAGAATCAAAGAGCACAAATCGTAATAGATAACGAACCCAGTCCAGAAATTGAATTTAGGAGAGGAGTTAGGCAGGGATGTATTATGTCCTCATTACTATTTAATGTACATAGTGAAGCCGCTTTTGAAGAAGCATTACTATCTCAAAGTGAAGGAATAATAATTAACGGAAGATCTATTAACAACATAAGATATGCAGATGACACTGTGATTATGGCAAACTCTGCTAAACAACTCCAATTACTGCTAAACAAAACAAACAGTTTGTGTGAAAAATATGGACTAAAAATGAATATAAAAAATACCAAATACATGATAATAACAAAGAAAACAAATATACCAACAAACATACATTTAGGAAATGTACCTATAGAAAGGTTTGATAAAATAAAAATACCTAGGAACCTAGATTTCAGACAATAATAATCAAACAACCGAAATGCGAGCTAGGAGAGAAACAGCAAGAAATGCGTTTGTAAAAATGAAAACAATTCTCTGCAACAAAGATCTTAGATTAGAACTGAGAGTAAGAGCACTGAGATGCTACGTGTTTTCGATACTGCAATATGGACTTGAAAGCTGGACATTAAAGCAAGAACACATAAATAAGTTACAGTCCTTTGAAATGTGGTATTACAGGAGGATGCTTACAATAGCATAGACACAGAAGAAAACTAACACGGAAGTATTGCGAGAAATTGGCAAAGAATGCGAAATAATAAACAAGATGAAAATAAGAAAGTTACAATACCGGGACACGTAATGAGGGGACAGCGATATGAACTGCTAAGGCTGATAATACAGGGAAAAATAAGAGGAAGAAGGTGTATAGGAAGATAGAGAGTGTCATGCTTGAAGAATTTAAGGGACCGGTTTAAATGCAGTTCTATAGAACTCTTTAGAGCAGCAGTAGATACAGTAAAGGTAGTAATGATGATATCCAACCTCCGATTGGGAGACGGCACTTAAAGAAGAAGATTTTTTCTCTTATTACTTTTTGGTGTTTTAAATAAACGATTTCTATTATACATTTACTTCCTCCCCATTTAAACTACTTAATATCTACATAATTATAAAAAACATCCAAGCTGCAAGTGTCCGGATTTTTTTGAGCAGGAAGTCAATGAAATTATAACAAATATAATTTATATATCGATACCAACTATATATTACTAATAATATTTCTAATATCTAATTTCTTTAGTACCTAGTAGTACTTACTAATAATTAGACTTATAGGCAAATATGCAAATAAAAATGTAGAAAATATGCGCATAAATATGCACGTGTTTACCCAAAAATATGCAAATATTTTACAAAATATACATACAAATAAATAAAAAAATAGTAACAATTTTATTTAAAAAAAAAAGTGTACATAACTAAATATTTCCTACTATTCATTAAGATTTACATTTATTTTAAGTAACTACATCATTTTTAAGTATGAATAAACTTATTTAGAATTATGGTAACAATAAATGACCAAGTGGTGTTCAAAATTTTCTAACACAAACTTGTGGCTTCTGTCTGAGTACATATTATATTTATATATGGAAAAACTTCGTTCAACATCAACTGATGTAACGGGAGCATTTTTCAAACTAACCAAAACATTTGTTCTAAATAATTGTTTCCGAAATATTTCCAGCTAGAACACTGACTACTTCAGAAAGAATATGGTAACCTTTATTTTTTTCCATAGTAGCTTTAAATTTTTTTAAAATATCTTTTCCAATATTACCTCTAACGTTCCGACAACATGACGCAAATTCATTTATTAATGCTGTACTTTCGAACAATGACAGTTTTGGTGATTCTAACTGAGTAATTGTTTTTTGAACAAAACTAAAATTTGATTTTATAAATGAAAGTTCTTGTTGAAGCAAGTTACTCTGAAAAGTTTGTTTAGAATCCAAAAGAGATTGGGAACTTTTATCTGTTAACGTATCAATTATGTTCTTTATTTTAACAAAATGATCTGCATAAAAATTAGCTGTTTCTAACCATGTTCCTCATCGCGTTAAAATAGGTTGTGGTGGAAGAGGAATGTTAGGTAGCATTTCTTTATAAAGTTGAATTCTTATAGAAGATTTAAGAAATACTTTTTTGACACTGGATATCATGGTATTTACAAGAGAAAACTTTTTTCGTATTTCCTCTGTAACTCTGTTTATTCCATGCGCTACACAAGTAACATGTATTAAATCTGGGAAAAATATTTTTAAATTTTGTCCTGCTTTCACCATATAAGGAGCAGCATCCGATAAAATAAGCAGTAATTTATTAGAAGGAATAGTTGTCGGAAGAAAAAAAGTTGCTAATGTTTCTTGTATAAAACGCGAAATTGTTAAAGCATTTGTTTTCTCAAGTTGCTGGCATGAAATAAGCTAAGATTTTAGTAAGGTATCTTCTTTAAGAACACCAATCAATAAATGAGCAATATACTTTCCTGAGGAATCAGTGGTTTCGTCTACAGATATGTAAAAATAATTATCTGCAATTTCTTCCTTAATATTAATTAACACCGACGAGTATAGCCCGTTCACATTATTTCTTCTTAGAGACCGATCACTTGGCACATTAGGTTTGCAATATTTTTTTTAGAAACGAACTAAAATTTACATTTGCTAATTTTGAAAGCGGTATGTTTGCAGACACTAATGCGCGACACAAGTCTTCATTAAAAGTTTCTTGCTTATCTAATTTTTTTGAAGTAGATTGGAAACATTTAGCCATTGAAGTTTGATGTTTTCGTCCTATTTTTCCTTTTTTTGCAATGTATGAAGCAGTTCTCACATGTTGGTCTATCTGAAATTTCTTCTCACATGCTATCTATAAATAAAAATAAAAACCTTTATTTTAACCCAACCTTTAAAATATAAAAATATACAAGGTGTTTTTGGTTAATCAAATAACTTGTTTGGAAAAAAAAACACTCGCTAAGTGTCTTAAATGCAGTATTAATCCACAAATTAGTTTTTGTTACTAACCATTAGTACATCATATAACTTATTTTAAAATTCAACAAAAGTTTTTTTTTGTTAATTTAATTACAATAAAAATAATTGTGTTTTAGAATAGCTGACTTCATAAAACAAAATAAAGGTGAAAAATTTTTTTAAATACACACCATTGTATTGTATCATGGACAATTTTTTCTCACTAAAGAAAGCTATTTTTCATTTAAAAACAACCTACGAGTACTAAATTTCAAGTAAATACGTTTATTGGTTTTAAAGTTATTGTTGTTATTACCTAAAAGAATTTAATTTTTTTTAATTTTAACACCCTGTATCTCGAAAAGTAAATAAGTTTGACCCCTCATTAACTATATCGTTTTGTTCAATTTTTCGAGAAGTATCTACAGTCAAACGTTGTGTCATTTGGAAACACACTGTATGTATGAAATATTAGATATTTAATAGAAAATATTAGATACTTACAATTTTGCCACAGACTGAACAGTAGATTTTACCCATATCCATAGACAGCTCTTTCTAAGGTTTAATCCAAGTTGAAGCACTGGTTGTTTTAGGCATTATAAAATCACAATCTTCCTTTTTGTTACGCACAACGAGTGTTTACGCTTTGAATATCAAAACAAAAAGGATTTACAAATCTGAGCATCAAATTAGAAATGTTTAGGTACCTAATTCAATAAACTGGGAGATTTTGGAAAATCCCTAAATTAGGAACAAAACTATTAGCCGTTTACCTGCTGTTAAGATACAATATATTGTAGATAGATTTGGAGATTAGATCATAAAATGCAAATGAGCGAACCCTTAGCGATTATCCAATAACTGAATGCCTCAGTGACCGAGACTTTCTAAGAATGTTGAGGGCTACTTAAATTGATCTTCTTTGAAATTGTAAATGTTTTGTACCTGTAGAGATTACGTACTTAGATCATTTCTTGATTCAAATGACTACAAAATTTTATACAAGAATTGAAATAAATTGGTATGTCTAAAAATTTTCAAATACAGTATAAAAATCTGAACTTTTATGCACTTTATGCAAACTTTTATACAAATATGCCAAAATATGAAATATTTGCATAAAATATGCACAATATGCAAAATATGCAATATACATATTTGCCGAAGTCTACTAATAATATATTACTTATATTTATTTCAGTTTACATATGACTACCATGTTGTAGTTTTTCTAGTTGGACCAAAAGGAGGATTGACAGGATCTATCGATAATTTCAGACTATCAATTAATCTGAGCTTAGATCTTAACACGTATCAGGCAAAATTAAACAAAATTAAAACTTCAAATAGTGGGTAAGCATAAAATTATTTGGTATAACCAATTTTTAAATCATATTTAGAAGTTTAAAACTTGAAGTAATTAACTGAGAATAAAACAATGTTAATTATAACATTGTTTTTAAAAGTAATTCACAATAGAATACATAAGAAATTAGATGAAGGTGTAAGTAATGCACAAATGGGATTTGGAAAGGACTGGGAACACGCTATGCACGAGATTTGAGAAGACATTTGACAGAGTGCAGCATAATCGGCTTCAAGAAATTTTATTATATAAAAACATAGACAGTAGAAACATTAGAATCATATGTAACCTCTATTGGAACCAAACAGCAAAAGTGAAATTTGAAAATGAACTGACCAAGGATATCCAGATTCGCCGTGGGATCCGCCAAGGGTGTATTTTATCACCCGTGTTATTCAATTTATACAGTGAAGCCATCTCAGAATTACTGCCTGCCGAGATCAGTGAGGGCCTTATAATAAACGGTGAGCCACTTAATAATATAAGATATGCTGACGACACCGTCCTTCTGGCAGAAACACTAGAATAACTGCAACATCTTGCTGAACAACTAAATATATATTGCAACGATTATGGACTAAAAATAAATTTGAAGAAAACCAAGTTCATGGTATTTACATAAAGTACAAAACATCAAAGTTAAGCTAGTACTAGATAATACAGAAATTAAACAAATATCTTCGTACAAATACCTTGGAGCAAGGATCACAGAAGATACTAATCAGACAAAAGAAATAAGATGCCGCATTGAAATTGCACAGTCAACTTTTAATAGAATGAGAAAACTTTTTTGTAATCGCGATATCAACATATCGCTCCGGATAAGAATGCTTCGATGTTATATTTTCTCTACCCTTTTGTATGGAGTTGAAGCTTGGACACTTAAAAAATCCAACATTAAAAACCTAGACGCATTGGAAATGTGGTGTTACCGACGTATTTTGAAAATATCATGGACGGATCGCAAAACAAACGAACAAGTTCTCGAACAACTAGGAAAACAATGCGAAGTTTTAAATTCCATAAAAATCAGGAAATTGGAATACTTGGGGCACAAAAGTTTAGATGCAGTTCAATTGAACTATTCAGGCGCGTAACCAACAAAATTAGAATTGTCAGAATGATTTTCAATCTCCTATAGGAGTGGAACTTGACGAAGAAGAAGAATTATAACATATAATAAAACAACAACATATTTATTATTATTGAATAATAAACACTAGACCTCACAAACCATACATACTCTAGTAGTAGAGTATGTATGGTTTGTGCTAGACCTTTTCTAACATGACAGTGGCGGATCTAGACATTTGCCTTGAGAGGAGAACTGGGAAACACCAACCAAACTTTAATTTTGGATCTTCTTGGAAAGTAATTCCCCATTTCCCCCGTGCATCCGCTACTGTAACAGGGATTGTATCTGAATTTTACTCTGTAATTTAAGGGTTTCTTTTACTATTACGATAAGCTTTGTTATAATATTAAAATATTTTATGTTTGGTACGTCTGTCGTTTTTTTATTATATATAAATATATTTGGTAGTGTTTTGTTTTTCTTTAACTGATTGTGCTATATCTTCATTTCATATTGTGAGTCCTGGTCTGCTTATAATTTCTGTCCTTCTATTTAAGACTTTTTCTTACTGGTTTTTAAATGATTTTTTTTATTAGCCTACCATGATATTTTGTTTGTACCTGCTGAAAATGTTAGTCTGATCTATTAATGCATAATTTCTTCTGGCTTGATCTTGAAAAAAGTAGATCTTGAAGACTTCTTCTAAAAAGTTGGTTTTTGGACGTTATTTTAAAATATAACAGGTTATTTTAAAAAGTAAAGACTTATTTGGTTACTATATATATACTAAGATATAGTCGATATTTGATCTTAGACATCTGACTGATCCAGTGCATTTGTGTATTTTTGTGTCTTTTTTCCTTACGAAGTTATTTGTGATTTTTAGATATATTCTTCAGTATTCAGATGCTTCTCCATTGTTATTAGCACGTTGTTTTCGATTTAGTTTCATAATTTTAAGGATATCATTATTACTGACTTTGTTGTTTAGATCTCCACTTTGTTGTTTAGATAGTATGTGATATGTGTTAATATATTTTTGAATCTTTTTCTGCGATCTAATTGGTGTCTTTGTTTTATCCAAGTTTCTACTTAATTTTTTTTTAAATAGCTATGTTTATCTTTTTGTATAACTGTCTGCATTATTGTGTTCTTTTATTACAAAGCTTCTTTTATTCCAGCTTGCTAATACAAGCAGATCTTTTACACACAATCTGTTGTACCAGATTCTTATAATGAATTATAATAAGTACATATTTCCTTAGTATATAATACTAATCAATATCTAAATCAATTATCCAGTGTGTTCACAATTTTATGGCATTATGACTGCTCAAAATTCTGTTGAGGGTCTAGCTGGTTAGTTCCAGATTTAAAACGCCACCCGGGGAGCTATCTTCATCACTTTCTTGTGTGTTGCCGCTGTTTATTTCTCCTATTATTTCCAATTTATTATTTGTTTTGGTATCCGATCTTTACCCGTACTATTTATAGATCTGCACTTTATATGAGTAGCTTCTGGCTTATTTTGTTGTTAACAGTTCGGCATTCAGTAGTTTGTTTTCTGTTCGATGATTGAATTGCTTATAATAGATATTAGGAAGATATATTTTAATACGCTCTAATTATAACTAGATAACTTGTTTATGTATATATTTTTAATTTTAGACATATAACTGTAAAGTTCGACGGACACCTGACTGATGCTATTCTGAATATCCTGTCACAATTTGTCACCACGGCGCTCCACCCAATTCTACAAGGCTTTATTGAAGCTATAGTAAAAATTGCATCCACTAACGTTGTAGATAGTGTAAACAAAGTAATAGATGAAATTTTGCATCCAGATGTAATTAAAAATTTCAACTTCGCACAATATCAACAATATTTAAGATAGTATAAATATAAATTTGTGTAATACCATTTAGTTATTTGTTACTGAAAATATACTATTTGCTTATGTTTATATGATTTTTTGTATATTCTTTGTCCCCCAAAAGCCTTATATAACTTTTTCAACATTACCATCTTTATTTCATCGCTGTTCGTTTCTTTTTTTATGTACTCTAGTAAATAGATGTATATATACATATATATATATATATATATATATATATATATATATATATATATATATATATATATATATATAAACACCGTAGTTGGCTGTCTGGTGGCTGATCTTGCTTGGCCAATCCTGATATATTTCTTCGCTACTTCCTGCTTTTGATGTTATTTGGACTCCCAAGTATTTAAAATTGTCTGTTGGTTTTATAGTTACCATTTCGTTTTCAGGCTTTCTGGTTTCTCTCCTACAACTAAGTACTCAGTTTTTTGTATATTTATTGTGAGGCACCATTTGGTGTACTTTTCTTCCAGTTTTCTAAGCATGTATCCTACATCACTTTCGTCTTCAGCTAGAATGGCTTGGTCGTCAGCGAAGTGTATCGTGTACAATCTATCATCTCTGATTGGGATCCTCATATTACAGTACTTTCTTCTCCACAGTGAGAGTGCCTCATTTAGATATATTTTGAAGAGTGTAGGTGCCATGCAGCAGCCTTGCTTTAGGCCCTTACTAATAGAAATTTCTCTAGTTAATCTATTTTCAGTTCTAATGTTTGCCGTCATATTTTTGTAGAGCTGTTGTACTGATTGTATATTTTTTTTTTGGTTATTCCTTGTTTTTCCATTGCTACCCAAAGCATTGAAAGTGGTACACTATCGTATGCCTTTGTCAGATCTATAAAGACTATATGAGTTGAAAGGTTGTGGGCTAATCTTTTCTCGATAACTTGCTTTAGAGAGAATATATTGTCCATACGGTATCTGCCTGCACGAAAGCCATTCTGTTCTTCTACATCTGTCATCTCTTTTTTAATTTTATTTTTTATAATTTTTCCATACAGTCTTGAGAGTCAATTTATGACACTTAGCCCCCTGTAGTTTGAGCAATTCTTTCTATCATCTTTTTTGTAGATGTTGTTAATATGTGCTTTTGTCCACTCCGGTGGTAAGTCGTGTCCATTATAGAATAAGGTGAAGACATACGCCAGTAATTCCCGTAATACTTGTGGGCTATGTTTTAATAATTCATTTGGTATACTTTGTGGTCCGCATGACTTCCGATTTTTTAGAGTTTGTATTGCATTCTCGACTTCCTGTACTGTTATTTCATCGTCTTCAATGAATTACAGTTCATATGTTGTTGTACTGATGTTCGTGAATTGAGGTCTTGTTTCAGTCAAAAGTTGTGAGTAGTGTTCGATCTTTCTTCTATTAAATCTATTCTACTCGTTTCTTTTATGTTTGTTCTTAGATTTTTACCGTTTTCCATGCTTCTCTTGATCTTGTTGACCCTATATATTTGTTGAGTTCTTTTGGTTTGTTTGTTTGTAAAAAAAATATAAAAAAAAAATAAAAACAAACAAACAAATAAATATGGACATACTAAATTTTAGTTATTTAGAAGCACCACGCCATCCAACTTTAAGATTAAACAACGAATTCAAACAAAAATACTCCGTAAAATATTCCAATTATGTGCTATGTATCAACCAAAACTATCCATCATTGTGACCTGGACATTCCCATCGTTGAAGATAAGATCCGCTCATTTAGCAGCAGATATTTCCAAAAATGATCTGGCTATCAAACCGCAGAGATCATTTATGTAAGTGAACCTTTAGCAGTACACAGAAGGCTAAACAGGAAACGACTAACTGATTTGCAGTAACAAGAATAATTAAACGCCAAATACGGAGTAATGTCAGTGGACAAACTCTCCCTATAACTAATATAAATATCATTCTTACTTATTGGTCCTGTAATTTAATCAGATCATAATTTCTTCATTATCAATCAAAACACAAAATCGAAGGTTATTTTTAATATCGAATCAGTCTTGGCAGCGAATAAAATTGTATGCAACGTATTTTAAAATCAATCAGAAAATAAGCATTTAAAATCACTTAAAACAAATAACAATCTTTTATTGTTCGGTAGCTATTTTTTTGTGGCATTTTAATGGTATTTATTATTTGATATTCCTCTAATAATTTAATTTTATCTGCCTCATTAATATTGACAATTCAGACATATGTTATACACTTGAGATGACTTTAAAACTGTATTGTCAATATTTTTGATGTGCGTTTCTGGGACAACTTTATTGAAGAATAGTTAGTGAAGAAGAAGTACATGTTACAAAAATTATAGCATGTGATTTTTACTTAAAATACAACCACTTTCAGTCAAAACAGTAAAATGATTTTGTTAGTAATTCCATTGTAAATCATGGGGAAAAACCAAGAAAAAAACTTATTATACTCTCCCGACATAGTAAACGTCTAATCTTACATTTACGTTACTCTCCATATTATTATCAAATCCTAAATTTATTTATGCGACTTTAAAATATAAATGATGCATTCTCGATATTAAAGGCCAGAACTGGAATTGAGCGGTAAAGCCATAGCAAAATGGTATACTCACTGACATGACTCACTAACAGTGATATTTTCCTTTTATCGATTTCTTCTTTTAATAATATTAAACAGCTTCTACTACATTATGCCGAGGAACTTAGTCTGTAGCATCTGTTCATTTTTCAGTACTGCTCTTGAATAGTTACTAAATTCTATGCCCGACAGATCTCAAATATTTAAAGATGCATAGGAAAATGAACATAAAGGGTGATAAAGGTGCGAAAAAAGTAAGGAATTTTAACACGAACGTTCCATGTCGAAATATCGAAGGACAGAACATCTTTGGATATCTAAGGACAGAAGTCATACAAAAATATAATTTCGCCAAAAGATCGGACGAACTCTGACTGAATATAATAAGGAACTGAGAAGGGCAAAAAAATCATGAAAAAGCCATTGCGATGAGATACAATATGTTGCATAAAAGTCAGGTTCCACAAAGTTATCTCAAAGGACCCTCAGATAAGCATTCCCTGGCAGTAGACTGGACTGAACTGGATCACATGACTTATGGTTCTAGTCTTAAGGAAATGACTTTCTGTACAAAAAATTATTTATAATATTACAGACTAGCTTGTGGCATATAACAAAAACATGGAAGTCAATAAGAGTGGATTTTATGTCCAAACCTGACAATACTTTACAGGGCAAAGATAAGTTCATGAGGCCGGTAAGTTTGACGTCATTCTTACTGACGACTCTAGAAAAACTTGGCTATAGGAACATTAAAGATGGTGTACTAGTTGAAAAGATAAAGTGCGCTCTGGAAAACTACAAATTTATATTGGCTGCATTTCTTGATATAGAGAAAGTACCCGACAACATCTTCAACAAAGAAATCACAAGGATGATTCCTCTAAAAAATACAGCATACTGAGGAGCCGTGTAATATACATGTGATGTGGGAGGCGGTTCGCAGAAGCGAGTTTTATCTCCTCTCTTGTAAAAGCTGGTCATAAATGGGCAGATAGCTACACTCAGCTAAGATAGTCATCATGCCCTGAGTTACGAGGATGACCTGATTATCTTAGTCCATAGTGCCCTGAGTTACGCGGATGACCTAGTTATCTTAGCCTATAGAAAATTTATTGACACGTTCAGAAATATAATGCAACATACTCTGACAGTAGTTACAGAACGGATTTAAATTGCAAGGTTTAACAGAATCCCCGGAAGTCCAAAATGAAGAAATTTAGAGAGATTAAAAGAGGTCTAAGTAGGCTTAGAGGAATCATATACACATATAAATATGCTGAGTAGTATAAAGAAGCTTAAAGTAGTATTAGATTTGGTGCTTACTTCAACCTCACTTCTTTTCACATAGTTTTAAGGGCATATGCAAGAATGGAATATTATAGATTGCGTGAAATTCTGAGCAATGTAATGGTAAGATCAGCGTATAGTAACACCATAAATGAAATCAGGGATACGAAATAGAGGTGATTTCTAATCATATGGTACCCAGAAGCAGGCCTTTTCAAATACCTTTCCAAGTAGAAATTTGTACATTAGAGGAATGGAGGAGCGAAAACACTCGACCCAGACTGCAGAGCTATATCTGATACACAGACGTCTCTAAAATGGCAGAAGGGTCGGGGCAAGAATTTAGTAGTGGTGGAAATTTAAATATTTCTATTTTACTAGGAGAATATATCTCTGTATTTCAGGCAGTTACTTTTACAATATTGTACTGTGCGAGAGCCAACCTAACATGAGGGCGTTCGAAGTGAAGTGGATCATGCACAGATAGCCAAACTGCCATGGGGGCTCTTATGGTTAAGGGATACTCGATAGACTGGCGGAATGTAACAGTGTCACTCTGGTATGGGTTTTAAGATACCGGGAAATACATGGCAACGAAAGAACTAACGAACTTGCCAAAAGAGCATTAGCTACAAAATAGTTTGATGCAAGCTGGCCGTGAAAGTGTTAAAAAGCATTGTCGGTGAACGGAAACAAGATTGGATCCAAAGAAAACATAACTTTTACTGGCAAACTTTCACCGGTCAAATACATGGCAATATGTATATTGGACGGAAATGTGCTAAAAAGAATAAAGTACTACAGAAAACAAGCAGAAATCAGCTCAGAGTCATAATAGGCTTCCTTACTATAGATTAGATATGCACCAATGGGGATACATCTGCCTAAAATGGGACTGTTTTATGAAACGTAAGCTTCAGACTATGTAGAAGAGGACCCAAAACCGTCAACCATACCTTAAACGACTGCAAGTCATTAGATCGCAGGCGGCAACACTTTTCGGAGACTACCAAGTGACTCCAAAATATACAATTTCCATTTACCTCTAAACCTCTACAAGCTAATATAGGGTTGTTCCAGAATCCTTAAATGGGTATAATCATAGATAAATAATATAATAGTAGAAATATATAGGCAACTCAATGTATAAATTTCGTTCATTAGGCCCCTTGCGGCTGGGATCAATACTAATCATCTTTTGGCGGCAAATTCGAATGAACACCCCTCATATACATACCCTTTAGCGCCTCTTGTTGGCTATTTCGATACTAATTAAAATTTATTGGAAAATAAGATATATAAAAGATGCACAATTTTTCTAGATATACGTATATTTATTTGTTGTTTAAGATAAAACAGTTATAAAATAATTACATAATATTTATTACACATATTTGCAGAAGTTAAATACTATTATTTTTTGCTTCCTGACAACTTACTATCATCTTTTTTGTCATTTTTCCATGATTTGTACACAACGAACAATACAAATTCACCATGTTTAGTTTTGTTACTAGCACTACACAAAAATTCTTTGGTACAATAGGTAACTCAAAATAAACTTTAAAAATTAAGTAACCAAATTTAAATTAAAATTACTAAGAATAAATGCAAACGAAAGTTAAAGATAATAAAATAAAATTGAAAACTTGTAAACAAACGGAAGATCTGTCATTACTTTGGATTGACAGAATTGACATTGCGTCGTTTGATTATTTTATTTGGTTTATGATTGGTTAAAGTCTTCGTGAGAGAGATAGGCTGTCATTTCTCTTTGTTAACTCGCTGAGGTCAAAGTGATGGGGGAATGAACATCGAGCAATAAGACAAAAGAGGGAATCTAATCCTTATGAAAAAGAGACCAAAAAAGTGGCCTCTGATGGCGGACATATCCGGAAATGCGAAGCCGCCAAATTTAAATTTTCCGACACTTATCAAAAGTAGCTATATAATATTTAGCAGAATGTGTCTTAGACGAGAAAGTTTTAATTAATTATTAATGATAAGAGTCTAAAATGCGACACAATTGTTAAAAACCTTCAATATAAATAAGATTTCATGTGACATTTGGGACAAACAATAACATAACCCAACTAAATTTGATGTCAAACAAGGAGAGAGACTCTCTTTCCTTGTTTAAAGTGGCCTCTCCAAATAGCACTTCCTGTCTATCAATATGTTTACCCCCACTACCTTTACATTCCCTCTATTGTCTTTTTGCTCGATGGGAATGAACCAAATCATTCATATAAGATTCCAGGCCATGGGTATAATGAGTATATTGACATTTTTATGTTTGTTAATAAGTTTCATTCGTTTTATTAGTATGTAAAAAAATTTACTAAATAAATTAAAAACTAACAAAATTTTAAATTCCAACTATTTAATTAAATACTTAAATAATTGGAATGCTACCAGTTAAAAAAATCACAATAATAATGGTTTTACTTATGATGTAAGCTTAAGGTAGCAACTAATGACAAATTTTTAAAAAAATTTGACTTTTCAGTTGTCTATAGCAACACGTCTTACTATAAACATGATTAAATAATTGTTTTTAATCAAAATTTTAGTGTCACAAAACTTGACTTTTATGTCAATATGGAATTTAACTTTGAAAATATTCTTAAGCAACTAAAAGATGAATACCAAAATACTAAATGTCCATCTACAATTAAGCAAAAGCAAGAAACGCAAGTAGGAGATTCAGGTGAAGATACTAAAACAGACCAAAAATATTTAGAACAAGAATTTTGTGAATTAGAAATTAAAGTAGATCAAATACTATCAAGTATATCCAAAGACACATTAAATTATTATAAGATATTGTCAATTATAAGTTCTATTTTATATGAAAAATCAAAGGTATCTCTAAACATGAATGCTCTTACAACATCGAAAGCATACTTGGAGAAGAGTCTTAACATTATTCAAGACTTAAGCCAAGATCCTCAGATAAGATTTATATATTTAAAAGTAGTAAACTACCTTTCTTATGTTATATCAAGAATGGGAGATTTTGAAAGAGCAAGAACACTTCTTGAAGAAGTTATCAAAGAAGAGCTCAAATTTGATACTTTAGTGTACAGTACAGAGGACCTATTTGAGTCAAGTAATTCAGACCAGGCATTAGCAAAAGCAAAGCTACGAAAGCTGAAGATAAATAATTTGCAAATGCTTGGCTGGGTTTACGGGAAATTAGGGTTAAATAGTCTTTATGCAGAAACAATACACAAAAGTCTACAAGAAGAACTTGATATTAATGATGGTGATCCTGTTAATTGGGCCACAAGATGTTATAGATTGGCATCTTTATTCATCGTACAGGATAAATGGATCAATGCGGTATATCACTTAAGAGCAGCCCAGACTGTTTTGGACCCACTTGAAACTTCTTTATTGCCGAACACAGCTCTCTTTAAAGCACAAGCTGATTTAGCAAGAACTTGGGTAAGTAAATACTATTAACGGGTTTATGCAGTATAATTGTTCATACCAGGCAGAAATCCCATTTATTAACGGATTGGTTATATCTTATTATCCTTCAACTTGTGATAATGATTCGTCTGTTTCATTAGCTAAAGAAGGTTTGGGATATATTTTTTATTCTAACTTTTTTTTTAATTGCTGTATTGCCAGATTCCAGTAAGAGCCTAACAAGATATCCATTGAATTCTGACAGACAACGGTGGGAGAAATATTTTTAGGACATCTACGTCACGGAACAAGACACCCTGGCATCTCTCGGCTGAGTAGGATACTAGGCCAGAAGACTCTAGGGTAGTGCCGGATTAACCGTGTTCCGCTTAAAACCGTAAACGCCATTCCTAAGAGGTGGTCTTGCCACTCAATGAACAACTAAAATAAGAAATTAAAAGTTTATAAATAACCATACCCATTACCGTAAATCAGAAAATGTTTTAGACCTTAGGTCATGAACTAATAAATAATATTAATCATAAATTTCAGATCCCTGGCTCAATTTCCCTCTCTGTCCTTCTGCTCTTTTTTCTTCATCACCACAGAAATCAGTGAACGTTTCTTTCTTCCAGTCTGAAACCTATTCGCCTCTCGAAATCTACCCTCTCATTTGCCTATACTATTCTATTTGCCTACCATGTCCGGTTAGAAACTGCTTCAGGAAGTAGTCTAAATTCCTGAACTTACATTCCCACCACGGCCTCAGATCACAACAAAACTATCTGTATCACCGTTCTAATAACATATAGAGCCTCATTTGAAACTGTCCTATATGATCTAGATACCTTGAGTAGCATTCGCCTTTGCAAAGTTTCCATCAGCTTAACGTATTTCACAGTGTTTATTACGCTATAACAGACGGAGGCAGCGTAGGTTACCACCGACTGGACATTTAACACCTTTCTTTCGGTGCTACCTGGGCCTCCAATGTTTGGCATCAGCCGTATCAAAGCCTCCAGATTTTAATTCGCTTTCTCTACTGTCTTTTGGATGTGTACTCCGAACGTTCGTCCTTCCAACAACCAGACTCCCAGATACTTAATCGATTTAACCGGTGCAACCTTCACATCTTCCACTATAAAGCGAAGAGAGTATTTTCGGCTCTCTTTGAGAGCTAACACCTCAGTTTTCTGAGGCGCTAGCTGTAAATCGTTTACTCTGATCCACCTACTAATGCGACGCAGGGCTGTGTTAGCCGCATTAGCCATGTCCATTTTCTGACTCGCCTTCGCAACCAGTGCGAGATCATCGGCGTAAGCTACAAGAGTGCATCCCATTGGCATCTGTAGACTCAACACCATGTCGTACAGGACATTCCACAGGATGGGATTTTATAATATTTTCAGATTATCTAACTTGGTAGTGTTATTTTTAATTTAGAATTTTGTGTCTAACAATAAAATAATTTATTTTCGATCTACACTTGAGTGCAAAATAATCGACTCAAAATTGATATTTGAGATTACACCTTTTGTTTTAATGTAACAAGTATGTAAATAACAGGATGTAATGTTGTAACAGTAACTGTATTATTGAACTTACAAAATCTGCTATTTCATTATTTGGAAGACGCATTATAAAAACCATATGCAATACGAACAGAGTTTCTCAAATATTCATCATTGGAACTATCCCAAGAAAGACATAATGAACAAAGAAATCATCAATTACAAAATGAATTTTTTTGTTTTTTAGTATTTGATATTACCACCCCTAATCCTAGTTACACTTTTTAATCGATTTCGCTTGGATCGGATGACTTTTCTAATAAATTCTTAAGGCATTGATTCCCATTCATCATTAAGCGCAGCTCTCAATTCCATAATGCTCCTTGGTGCATGATTTATATACCGGACCCTTTGTTTAAGCTCATCCCAAACATGCTCTATTGGATTTATGTCCGGACTAAACGCAGGACAATTTATTGTAGGTATACCGATCTCAGTCAGATTGGTCGTGGTGACTCGTGCGGTATGACATCGTGCATTATTATGCAATAAAATAAAGGCATTACCAATAAATCCCGCGTATGGAACCACATGTTCCTCCAAAATATCTCTGATGTAACGATCCGCCGTTAAACTTCCTCCATGTCCTCTACCAGGCACGAAAACCAGCTCGGTTTTCCCATCCATGAAAATGCCTGCCCAATACATACAAGAACCGCCTCCATATGACACAATTTCTCGTATACAACATTAAGCAAATCGTTCCCCTGGCCTTCTATAGATTCGACGACTCTTGTCGTTGCCACGTAGGCAGATCCTACTTTCGTCGGAGAATAATACCTGAGTCCATTAATAGTCGTCTTAATCCAAATGTTCTTGAGCAAATTCTAGTCGTCTTTGCTTCTGGGCTGCAGTTAGTTTGGGACCAGTAGCTACCCTTTTCGGTGTCAGGTTGGCTGCTTTTAGTCTCCTTCTGACTGTCCAAACGCTGGTAACCACACCTCGGACCTCTCTGAGCTCTTCTTTAAGATTAACCCCAGACAAATGTCGATTTCTCAGAGATTTAGATACAAGAAATCGATCATATCTCTGTGTTGTTATTCGTTTACGACTTACTCCTTGTCAGGGGCATAATCGCCAGTATCTTGGTACCGACGATACACTAGGTACACTACACAATCGATTAAATTTATGCCAATCTGCTGTGATTTACGACGGCTCTCTGGCTTAGGTCTTCTCTCAATAATGCTACTGCTTGAGCTGCTTTGACGGATGTGGTATCCAATTGTTATGAAGTTGCGAACTTAATTGACTGATGTATTAGTGGGGTGCTATAAAAATTGATGCTTACGATGTTAACGAAATGTGTTAAGTGGGTGCGTGTTGATTTCAATGGGTCAAATTATGACCCCCTCTCTAAGTGTTGCATTACGTCACCTGATTTATCAAAAATCAAAACTTTTTTCAAAATAATTTTGAGTCGATATTTTTGCACTCAAGTGTATTTTCGATTTTATCTATTTTCTATTTTATCTTTGATGGTATCTAAAGAGTAGATTATAAGATCTTCCGAATAGGTTTTAGAAGCAGTTTTGGGATTGTTTTGGGTTAAGATTGTTAGGAATATTAAAGTTGGGTGAGTCGGTTTTTGAATTGTCTTCGTTAATTTCAGGAAATAATGCGATTAACAGGTTGAAATTGTCTATTTTGTTTGAGATATCGATGTTTCTGGTGGCATAGTATTTTCGAGGTTATCCTGAAGTTATCCTGAGGTATGGTTTTGATAGGATCGGGTAAAAAGTCAGGAATTGATATACTTTTCAAAGGTGTAATGAACAATTTGCTTTGTATATGTTAAAACATGACGGCATTCGCTTTAAGGAATACCTACTTGAAAAAAAGTTATTTTGCAAACAGCGTGAATACTAAGTTTTTGTAGTTCTTGTTCAATTCACTTATTATAGGGATTGTAGAACATGCATTAGATATTACAATTCTCATTAGGACATGAATCAATGGTGTTTTTGGATAAACTATATATTATGCATATCTTGTTAAAGCAATTCTTGAGGCATAAATCACATTAATTAGTGATTCAACAGCTACAACGTAATTATAAATATTTGTCCCTTGAGTGCTGGCTTAATGCTAACATTTAAAATAAATTACAGTCCCTAAGTAAGTGTGTTTAGTAGAATTATAGATAGAATTATTATTGTTTAACTTAATTTTATTATTTTTTGTTTTCTTTTTGTTTGTAGGTTATTTTGTTGCTATTACAAAAATATTATAAAATGAAGTAGTACCCACATACATAGGATAAATTTACCAACACTAACTAATGCCTTTATATTTTTAGAAGTGATATAAAATATATGACTTGTTTTTAACATGTAAAACGATAATATTTCGAAACAACTTATAAAATTGTATACTTTATCACTATCAGGGCTGAAGTAAAAAAAACATTACTTTCTATTCTTCTTCTTCTTTATAAGCAATTCTGCTTGTTAATTGACGGATTAATACCTCTATGGAAGGTTGTCACTCCATCTTTTGCGCGGTTGTCCGATACTTCTGCCGATTGGTGACTTATCTCTTGCCATTTTGCCGACACGGGTCTCACCCATTCTGCTTATGTGGGTATTCCATTTTTTTTTATTTTGTGTCCATTCATTTATACACTGTACGTTACATTTTCTTCTAATGTCTTCACTTCTCTTTCGATCTCTCAGCGTATTTCCTGTAATTCTTCACAGTACTCTCATGTCTGCCCAGTAGCCTTTGCATTGTTGCTGTTTTGGGTCTTATTTCTGAGCCATATGGCATTATTGGTCTTACACTGGCTTTATTAATTCTTAATTTCATCTCAGTGTTGGTGTGTTTCGCCATATAGTGTTATTAAGGCATCCTGTTAGTCTATTTACTTTTTGTACTTGATCTATCACTTCTTTGTCCAGGTCTTATTTCTGAGCCATATGGCATTATTGGTCTTACACTGACTTTATTAATTCTTAATTTCATCTCAGTGTTGGTGTGTTTCGCCATATTGTTATTAAGGCATCCTGTTAGTCTATTTACTTTTTGTACTTGATCTATCACTTCTTTGTCCAGGTCTTATTTCTGAGCCATATGGCATTATTGGTCTTACACTGGCTTTATAAATTCTTAATTTCATCTTAGTGTTAGTGTGTCTGTTTCGCCATGTAGTGTTAGTAAGGCATCCTGTTAGTCTATTTACTTTTTGTACTTGATCTATCACTTCTTTGTCTAGGTCTGCATAGCTAGACAGTGTAATTCCCAGGTATTTTATTTTCATTACTTGTTCAATACTGATGCTATTAATTTTTATTTTACATCTGGTTGGTTCGTTGCTGACTACTATTGTTTTGTCACATTCACATTGTTTGATTGTCAAATTAAATTCTGTTGCTCTTATGTTAAATCTGTGGACCAGTCTTTACAGACTATATTCATCTTGGGCTATCAATATTACGTCGTCTGCATAACAGAGTATTTTAGTTTCTTTGTTTTACATTCTTTATTCTCTTCCTTTGTTAACGCTTTTGATGATTTCATTCATGATCTAATTGAAGAGCATGGGGCTCATTGAATCCCATTATCTTATTCTGCTGCCTATTTTTATAGGTTCTGTAAGTTCAGCTGTTCATTTCAATATAAGTGTTTCTAACGCATGCCTCTAAATGCATAAGAGAGACTGTTCAACCAATGCGTTAATCGCTTGGGACTGGCGCTTGCGTCGAACGCATGCGACAATTGCATAAGAGCGACTGCTCCTATAGACCAAATGCCTGATTAACAAATATATCTCGAAGTTTTATAAAATTTGACTTCTAGAGTTTGATATTTATCAACTACTAAATATTTATTTTTAAATTTTAGGTACAATATGGACTACACCTCTTTAGTCGTAGTAGACGATCTGTCATGGAAAAAGTTTGGGAAGATGCTTGGAAACTTTGTCGCCAAAATGAATCATCGGATGCAAATAAGTTTAAATTTGTAGGATTAGAAATTCACACATCAAGTGTTCCTGTAAAAGAGATTACGAATATAGAAGAAGCACGCGAACTATTTACGTATACCCACAAGTGGTTAAAGCGAGCCAGATTATTTTACAATTTAAGAGATTATCCACTACAGTACGTTAATGTCATACAGGAATTGAATGAGCTATACAGATATCTTGCGTTTTATGAAAAAGATATAGACTCTCAATATGAAGTTCATAAAAAACGACTTGAAACTTTGGAAATGTTAAGTTCACTATTACGAGAAGTACGGCCAACTGGTTATAATACCGTAAGTTTGGAAATCGTTAAAGAAGTTATAGATGTGCAGTTAGAAATGATGCATATAAACTTAAAAAGAGTATTTAAGTCAAACGAGAATACCAATTATTCAAAAGAAGAAATAAAAAAACAAATAGAAATTTTTAATTCAGTTAATGATAAGATGGGAAATCTATGTAAAGACGTTAATGACAGTAATCCTAAATCGGTTAGTGATGTAGATGGATTAGATCATCTGTTATCGTCCAATGTTTTGGTAAATTCTGATAAAGATGCAGAACTCGATTTAAAAAGAGAAGGTAAGACTAAAAATGAAGAAGCAGTTAATGCTACAGAACTTCAAATTGAAGAAACAAAAAGCAAGTAACAATATACATATAGAAATTGTTAATCAGTGTAAAATATTATATTTATTTAAATAAAAATGTTTAGTAATTATTAAAAAAAATACTGGCACCCGTCCCACTGGCGTGTCAGCGCTTGAATAGAAAGGCACCTTTACATGTATCCCGTAGCTGGCGCAAGTCTCACTGGCGTGTCAGTGCTTGACTAGGAAGCGCTCGTTTACACATATTCAGTAGCTAACTTTGATTTCACTGGCACGCTAGTTCCAACTTGGCATCATCAGTACGTCGTACTGACCGTCAGGTACGACAGCGACTGGAACAATGTGTTCATACGTGTCTAAAACCGCTGGCTCATGGTTAGAGGGGACGCGAACGAGAACCACTGGCATGAAAAATAGACCAGCTTTCTATTCGAGACGCTGGCAGACAGCGCTGGACTGGCGCAAAAAATTGTTTACATGATGTCACTACTATGCTAGCGCTGTCGTGATAGTACGAGTAGCATCAGTTACTGGATATGTGTAAATCTGCCTCAACAGTACTAGACAGCAAATTTTATTCCAGATCCTTTATAAAAGGTATATAATAAAATACCCAAACAAGCTATATCACAATTACAATACAGAACGTTTTCGGAATGTTAATTCCATCATCAGTGTAAGGAAGTATACATGTTATAAGCCACTAAAATATATGGGTAAAAACCCGTTAAATGTTGTTAATTTATAGTTGTGTTACAATATATATTATTACAAATTAGGATGTTCAAGTTACCGTTGAAATTGGTAACATGGTGTACATAGGTTACATGATTCTGAGACAAAGTGTCTTCGAGGACCTGTTGATAACAACTATTATCAACAGATTAACAACTGACAGTGACAGCTCGGCAATGGAAGAAGAAATAAAAAGAAAAATAATAGAGCAGAACATTAAAAATGAGGATGGACAAGAGCATACGAAGAGTAGAAAGCTATCAACAAATACATCACAGAACAAGTATGAATCAAAACCAGATATCATAATTGAAATGATAAATAAATTGTCAAACGATATCACAGATATAAAGAATGACCAAAAGAGAAGTAAAAAAAGCAATTTTATACCTTATCCAAGATAATAAAAAGTTAAGAAAGGAGAACAATGGCCTAAAACAAGAAAACAAATAAATAAATTAAAGCGGAAGTAAAAGGAATCAAGAAGAATATGGAATTTACGGAAAAACAAAGGGGGAAGAATAACGTAGTAATGAATGTTATAGCAATACACACCGCGGTGGTACTAAATATATTTGAAATATATATGGGGATTGAGGTCAAAATTTAAGATGCACACAAGTTGGAAACAAAAACCTGCTTGATTGAATTAGAAGATCGGAAAGAAAAAATCAAAGCCATAAAAAACAACTCCAAGTTAAAAAACCACAAGAAAGAAAAAATATATATCAACGACATCACAGTAGGTGAAAGAAAAATAAAAAAAAACTATCAGGAGTATCGCACAAGAAAAGAGAGATAAAGGAAATTACATAAAAATTGGTACAAAACCGGCTATGGATAAGTAAGGAAAGACGAATGGAATTATAAAGAAAATAATTATTTTATTATAAATATTAAATTATCCAAAAAACCAATAATAAACGGCAATGCAGATACGATGAAGGAACAGGCAATGCATAAGGAGACGAGTAGTAATAAAGCAATATGCGAAGACCAGAATAGAAACTTAAATAGAAAGAAAGAAGAGACATGTTTACAAATATACAGAGCAAATGCAAACAATAAGATAAAAAGTGTGAAAACAACTGCGAAAACCAAAATACCTGAAGGAAGGACAATAGGAATTTGAAATGTAAGACTTTTCAACGGTAGGGAGACTGAACTTGCAGAAAAATTTGATAAGGCTAGAGTAGACATACTAGGAATAACAGAATCAAAAATAAAGGGTAAGAGCACATAATTGCTGGAAAATGGCCATTTTTCAATCCTCAGTGTAGTACCCCAATTAGGAAGAGCTAATAAAAGGGTTGGTTGTCTAATCAATAAAACCAGACGAGAATAATTAACGATTTTAAATGTATCACCGAAAGGATTTTGAAAATAAGGTTGACAACCAACAAAAAGAAACTAGTCAAAATCTTTGTTACACATGGATAAAACGATAGGGAAAGAGAGAAAACACCAAGTATATTTTTTGGGAAAAGGCAACAAAAGTTATAGATGGCACAGAAGGTTAAACAATAATTTAATATAATATAACATTATTAGTAGAGTATGAGAACAAAGTAGTTGAATTTTTAAAGATTCCTCGGATTTACTAAGATAGTAGATTCGAATAAGGTGAACTAATAAGAAACAATAATGGAGAACGTATTATAGACTTTTTTAGAGGGAATGACCTGATAATTATGAATTAGTTTTTTTAACACATATGTGCATAAATACACCAAAAAATGTAAAAATAAAGAAGAAAATTCCAATATTGACCATGTATTGGTGAACAGACCCCTAAGACAATGTATTAAAGATGTCAGAATAAGGAAAGGAGCAAAAATATAATATAGCGACCATTACCTTTTAGTAGCACGAACTAGTTTCGGAGTAAAGCAAAACATAACACAAACGAGACCAAGAAAAAGAAACAAAATGCTAAGAAATCTCACTGACGCCGTTATTAAATCATGCAAAGAAATACAAAAACTATTTAAAACAATATTACAATATTCTACAAAAGCACTTAAATCAGTACTATTATAGAATACTATTATAGAATCTAGATGGCACTTGGCACAAATTTAAAGAAGTGCTCCTAGATGAAGGTAAGCAAATCTGCGGAAGGGCGAGAATTAATAAAAACAAGCAGGGCACGAATTGGTGATGTAATGAAATAAAAGAAAAGTCAAATTTAAAAAATTAGCGTGGTAGCAATACCTATGTAATCAAAGTGCAGAAAGCTATTAAAAATATAAGAAATATGAGGCATAGTAATCGAAGCGAAAAAGAAGAGCTGGGAAGATTTTGGCATTAAAATGGAGAAAGATTGACACATCAACCAAAAATTATTTTACAAAACCCTGAGAAGTCTAAGAACAGAGAAGAGACAACAAACACCAAAACAAATTGTAAAAATAAAAAAATATTATGAACAGATGGAAAGAATATTTCGAAAACTTATTAAATTAGAAAAACTCCAATAATAAATTATACAACACTAAAAAATGCACATGAGAACCAAAATAAAAAAAATAACAACAGATGAAATAAGAGAAATAATAAGCAAGCTTAAAAGAGGAAAGGCAGAAAGGACAGGCTATGGTAATATAACCTAATGCTAAATAATATGTGTGAAAATGGAAATAAAATTCACAGTAGTGAAGTGATCAGTGACCAGTGTAGTAGTGTCTGGGGCTCGGGAGACTGAGACCTCGGAAGCCCTGAGGAAGACATCAGAGAGGATGTCGAAAGCTCGGCCCAATGGATATCGACGCGGTTCAACCCGGAAGACTGGTGAGTTTAATATTAATTTTTGTAATAGTATTAATCTTAGCTCTAGGTTTCATTGTACTAACCGCGGTTAGTACAATGACGCTTATAGAGTATAAAATATTGCGGTTACCATAACTCCCAAATAAATTAAATCAAAAAAATGTCATTTATCTAATTGGATATGTTATCAAAATTTAAAATTTTTAATCTTAAGTTGTAAGTATTGAAATATTCATTTTGTTTACATATAATAATTATAATAAATTTACAGTTTTCTCCTGAAGAAGTCACAAAATCGTGACGAAATATTGAGAAATAACAAATAGAGTTTTATTTCACACAGACCAATTGCTGAGACTACAAATAATATATATATATATATATATATATATATATATATATATATATATATATGTTCTTGGAAAGGGCTTTAGTGACTATGTGAGTATTAATATAATATGAATATATTGGGTATCTGGCCTTACAATTATTAAATAAGTTAGTAAACAGCCCTATTTTTTAAAAAGGAATATTTTTTTTCCTCTTTTTTCCTCCTCCTTTGTCTTTAAAAAACAAACAAAAAAAAACAAAAAAAAATTAAAAATAGGGAAAGAAGAAGGGGAATGAGTTACTATCTTGTAAGTATTTTTTTTTTTATTATTTGTTGTGTATGATGAGAGAGTGATATATCTGGCTCAAGTTGTCGATGTCGGTTCTTTTATTTAGGGATGATGGATGTTTAAGAATTTGACACATTTCAAGGATAGAACGCTTATGATAATTTTTTTGTTTGCACAGTATTTTGGTATTAGTGAAGTCGATACTGTGTTTGGTTGAAATGGCATGTTGTGCAAGGGCACAGGATGGTTTTGAAATCCTAATGTCGCTTACAAAAATTTTTTTTTGTTTTTTTTTGTTTGTTTGTTTTTTAAAGACAAAGGAGGAGGAAAAAAAGAGGAAAAAAAATATTCCTTTTTAAAAAATAGGGCTGTTTACTAACTTATTTAATAATTGTACCTCACTGCTTTCCAAAGAAACATATGTACGACACAAGCCACATGTGCAAATATGACAGCCTACAACCGATAGAAAACAATCCAAGAGATTATTGTGTTGGATCTTCGAAAGAGCTTACACCCACATTGAGATGAAGCCATCGGTAAAAATTAAATAAACAATAGTGCTCTTTCAGTTTTTTCTTGTGTGTTTTTTGTTTCGATTCTATCGTTTAGTTTTTAAGTTTTTAATGTTAAGTTATGGTAGAGTGTTTTTAACATCTTTAAAAAAACCTACAAATTGTTTTTGTAAGTATGAACCCTTTTGGTTATTTACTTATTTTTTAAATCTTTTTATTTTTATTTGTAGTGAACTGATGACGCTTTTGAAAACAAAAAGCGAAACATATTCAATTAAATCAATGAAGTAGTTGACGACTTTCATTTGCCTATTATTGACCGATACAACCCTGCTATTCAACTATTGAATATATTATATATATATATATATATATATATATATATATATATATATATATATCATCATCATCATCATCATCATCATTATCAGCGTATTCTACCAATTATGGTGCAGCCTCCCTTACATAGTCGTTCTTCATGTCTGCCCACGACTGTCTAATATTCGCTTTTCTGTGCCATGTTGTACCGGCTTGTTTCCTTATGTCATAGTCCCATCTTAAATTTGGACGTCTTCTTGGTCTCTTGACGCCTCTTGGATACCACAAAGTAATTCTAGTGGACCATCTATTGTCAGTTCTTCTTGCTAAATGTCCCGCCCACTGCCATTTTAAAGATTTTATTCGGTGGATTACATCAGTGACCTTCGTTTTCTGTCTGATCCATTCTATTCTTTTTCGATCTCTCTTGGTTATACCTAACATGCATCGCTCCATTGACCTTTGAGTGACTTTGAGTTTAGCTATTATATCTTTCTTTAGTGTCCAAGTTTCGCAGCCGTATGTCATGACTGGTAGTATACATTGATCGAATGCCTTTTTCTTCAGGTGGAGTGGCATCCTAGATTTGAATATAACTGAATTTTTACCAAAAGCTGCCCAAGCCAGTTTCATTCTTCTGTTGATTTCTGGGAGTAATGAGCCAGATTTATGTATTAATTGTCCCAGGTATATATACTCGTCTACTGTCTCCAGTGCAGTATTATTTATTATTACATCTTGGACATCCACTAGCTCGTTGTACATGGTTTTTGTTTTTGTCAAGTTCATTTTTAGGCCAACTTCATTGCTAGCTGCATTTAGGTCGCTTATAAGTTCTTGTAGTTCTGCAGGATTTTTAGCAATTAGAACGATGTCGTCTGCAAATCTTAGATGGTTGAGGTATTCTCCATCAATGCATAGGCCTTTGTTTTGCCAGTTCATTTTGCTGAATATATTTTCTAGAGTTGCAGTGAAGAGCTTTGGTGATATAGAGTCTCCTTGTCGGACGCCTCTAGTAGTGGGAAATTCTGGAGTGTTTTCATAAATTTTTACCTTAGCTTTTGCTTGTCTGTATATATTTGCTAAAGTTTCTATGTAAGGTTTGTCAATGCCTTGGTTGGTCAAAGCTTCTATTACTGCCTTGGGATATATAGAATCGAAAGCCTTCTCGAAATCTATGAAGGTTAATGCTAGCGGTATTTCATATTCTTTAGCTCTACTCATTAGTTCTCGAAGCGTATGGATATGATCCATGGTACTGAATCCACTTCTGAAGCCAGCTTGCTCTCTTGGCTGTGCAGCATCTAATGCATTTGTTAATCTGTTGTTGATGATTTTTGTGAATATCTTGTATATGATTGGTAGTAGACTTATAGGTCTGTAGTTTTTAATCTCCTCTTTATTACCTTTCTTATGGATCAAAATTATGTTTGCTGTATTCATATGTATATATATATATATATATATATATATATATATATATATATATATATATATATATGTATATATGTATATATATATATATATGTATATATATACATATATATATATATATATATATATATATATACATATATACATATATATATATATATATACATATATATACATATATATATATATATATATATATATATATATATTCTAGGGAAAAAAATAAAACGATAGGGTAAGCTTAAACATGTAATATTTCGTGAATTATTTCGTTTACAGCATCGACAAGACCACACAAGGTGCCTTTGAAAATATTTTGAATTTTCGATAATATAAGTGGATGTAAAAACGTAGTAATTACTGCTGTCATGGCATTAGTTAACCAATCAATCCAATCATGCCCAGAAAAGTGAATGTCTATCGATCTAAAAGAAAATGAGAAGAAATAATTTATTTTCGTTTGGTATAAAAAAAATAAGAAAATATCGACACGTAATGGCATATTTAAACGTATTAAATGGAAAACTAAACAACAAAAAGACAGTTAAAACATTGGTACTAACAAAATATTTGGAAATAGTCATTACATTTAAAGTATTAGTGGTAGTGCAGTACTTTCAGATTATCTACATTTTTAATGTATTACTTACCCTGAATTCATAATATCAAAATTGGTTAGAGTTGCATTGTAAGTATTAAAATCAAAACTTAATGCTGCTTGTATTATCACGTTTTCAACTTTTCCTTCTACCTCGCCCTCTATTGTGAACAGAAGATAGTGTGTAATGTAGTGGTAAGCAAACTGAAAAATAAATTAAGTATCACTTACTGATGGAAATATTTTAAGACTGTAATTATCATAGACATAATAAGAATTTACTAGGTAAGGTATGGGCCGCTTTGTGAATATATATATAAAAACACAATATTTACTTTGAAGGGTCTATCTTTATCTGTCATATGCGCGTGATCTACCAAACTAATATAGACGGGAGTAATGGAACCCTGGAGGTGGCAAGTACATTTATTCTGCTAGAAAGAAAGTGGTAAAGAGAGATAGATAGACCAATGATCAAGTTCTCCGCGTTTAACTGCTTTATTTGCGATGCCTATATTTCAGCAATGAACTAATCAGTCATACGTATGATCTCTTAAGATATCATATAATTTAGCTGTCCCTATGAATTTTACAAAGAAACGTGTCAGTAGCTAAGAATTTATTTTTTAATTAGCATATGACATATTAATCCCACAGAGTGAGACAGGGATGCGTATTCTCGCCAATTATTTTTATTGCCTACTCTGAAGTTGTAAATGGAGTTCCCATTAACAAATTAGATATACGGATGACAGTGTGATCTTAGCCGAAAATATTGAAGATCTTCAGAGACTGGGGACCAGAATAGCGGAGTATGGAAAAAATTACATAACAATGAATGTCAAGAAGACTAAACTTATGAGAATATCGAAAACTCTAAGAAATAAGGAGAATCTTCTAATAAACAGAACCAACGTCGAACAAGTAGAGAAATATGCATATCTGGGAACAATGATTAATTACACAAATGATTACATTTAGGAGATCAAATTAGAATAGAAAAGGTTAAAGAAAATTTAAAAAAAATGAGAAGGGTAGGTTTGTGCACTCTGGATACTTGATTTCAATCTATAATTAATCAAAGCAAAATCAATTTGATTCCTTACAATCTTTTGATTATTATTTTGTGAGATTTTCACGTATAGATTCGCCTTGGAGGTAGTTTAAACCAAGTATGTTACCACATATTCTTCTTCTTAGCAAAATTGTATCCGACGATTATCCCTGTCATTGCGTGTGCCTAATCCGTATCGTCTAGTGATAACAGTTATTTCTTTACCAATTTTTGTATTAAAGTCGCCTAATGTAATGTTGATGTTGTGTTTGTTAATGTTGTGATGCTTTTTTTATATTCGTTATTCCTGCATATAATTCTTCTACCTCATTCTCTTCTTTGTTTGCTATGGGTGCATGTACTTATATTACATCATGGAAGGCAGCTAAAAGATTGAAGAGACCAATTATTCATTCCCCTCCTATCAAGTTGGAAAACGGCAACTGGGCTAGAAGTAACGAATAGAAAGCAGAACGATTTGCAGATCATTTAGAAAGCACGTTCAAACCCAACGACAATGATAGTGAAGAACTGAGATGGAAAGAACCATTCCAAACTGACGAAAGAATAACATTGACATCACTTAGAGAAGTATCAACAGAGATAAAAGAGAATATAAATCCTAAGAAAGTTCCAGGATATGATCTTATAACAGGAGAATTATTAAAAAATCTACCAAGAAAAGCCATAGTTAAGCTGACACACCTAATAAATGCTGCTTTTAGGTTGAGATATGTTCCCAGACTCTGGAAAGTGGCCGAAGTAATTATGATCGCCAAACCAGGTAAATCTCCTAATGAAGTGACATCCTATCGACCAATATCCCTCCTTCCGGTGATGTCAAAACTATTTGAAAAACTTCTATTAAAAAGATTAAAACCAATAATAGAAAGAAAAAAATCTTATACCAAATCATCAATTTGGTTTCAAAAATCAACATTTCACTATAGATCAAGTTAACAGAATAACGAATATAATAGAAAAAACATTAGAAGAAAATAAAGTCTGCTCTACAATCTTCTTGGATGTAGCACAGGCGTTTGATAAAGTCTGGCATGACGGTTTAAACTATAAACTAAGAACGTTCATGCCTAAACAGTATTCAGAAATCTTGGAATCATACATTGCGAATAGATATTTCAGAGTTAAACAAGAAGAAGTGTACACCGACTTAAGGGAGATCAAAGCTGGCGTGCCACAAGGAAGTGTCTTAGGTCCGGTCCTGTACCTATTGTATACGTGTGACATTCCAGAGCTAGAACAAAATACTATTGCCACCTTCGCGGATGATACAGCCATACTAGCGATAGGAGACACTAGTGAAGAAGCGACTGATAAATTGCAGCTATCAGTAAATAAAATACATAACTGGACCAGAAAATGGCGAATAAAATTAAATGAGACTAAATCTGCACACATTAACTTTACAAATAAAAAAATAGAAAATTTCCCAGTTAGAATAAATGATACCCGAATTCCTTATACAACATCAGCAAAATACTTGGGCATCACCCTAGACGCGAAGCTGCGCTGGAAAGTCCATGTCAAAAAGAAAAGAGGGGAGCTTGATATTAAATATAAGAAATTGTATTGGCTGATTGGAAAAAATTCAACATTGTCAATTCATAATAAATTATCCATCTACAAGCAAGTACTGAGGCCAGTATGGGTATATGGGTGCCAACTCTGGGGCTGTACCAAAGCTAGTAATCTACTTATTATCCAGAGATTTCAAAATAAAGTACTGAGAAACATTGTTGATGCTCCTTGATATATCCGTAACAGCAACCTCCACCAGGACCTGGGTATGGAAACTGTGATCGAAATAATCAAGAGAACAGCAGCAAGTCACGAGCAGAGGCTGCATAGTCATGTGAATGTCGAGGCAATCCAGCTTCTTGACAACACTGAACTAAAGAGAAGACTCATAAGGACAAAACCATTTGAGCTAGTGTAAATGTGTAACAGTTTAGTGTAAAAAGCAGAGTATAGTGCTGTGAAGTTATTGCATGCTAGTTGTAGTGCATTATTTAATAGATAAAATAAGAGTAAGCCATAGGGTAAGCACTTAGATTTAAGTATTTGCTGTTATTATGTTAGGTCAGAAAATAACTGATAATTGGTCATTTGTGACCAGATAGCAGTATACAAACACCGCGCAGGTGTTAATAAAAAAAAAATTATAGTGTTTTTACATTTAAGTTGTTGCAGCGCTATCCTTTCGGAGTAAAGGGTAAACTTTTCTAGAGATTTATCAATGTTTTTGTGTATGATACACGTGACTAAGAACGTGTTAAGAACAATTATTTTTTCCTCCAGAGAAGTAAATTACATGGACATCCATTTCTAGTCTTCCTGTACTGAGCCTATATAATGTGTACCTTTCTGTGCTAATGTGGTTAATTATAGATGATGTGTATCTGTCTTTGTATTACCGCAATAATCCTAGAACGGCCTAGTAAATCCTGCTATATTATATTGACGAATTTGCTACACATTTTTCTTCGCCTAGTAAAATGAGGACTTCTTTTCTTCTTGGTTTTTTCTTTTTGCTGTACTTTTTTTTGACTATTAATATATCTTTCCATTGTAGCCTGTGCTGATTATCCCATGTATAGTTACATCTGGAATATCTTTTTAATGCATGATTCATGCTGATTTATGTTAACATTTACCGGCCTGACGTTTCTCCCAGATACAAATTTCTTTGGTCTCTCTTGTTTGTTATTGTGTTTGGATTTCTAAAGAATAGATCAAGAGTGTGTCGGTTATTTTAAATTTTGGTCTGATTTTATATTTATTTTCTGTCTGTTTATTTTCAAATCTCTTCTTGTGAGAATTTCTTGATCGTTTCTGGTGTTTTGTTGTTCCTTTAGGCAATCTTGTGAAATTCATTGTTTATAAAGGACAATCGATAATCATTTTTTTAATAAAATCTTTGTTAGAAAGTTTTTTATTCTTGAAAATCATAATCGTTGGTACAGGTGTTTTGTATTCTCGTCACATAGTGATTTGATGATTCCCGTATTATTATTTATGTAAAAGATTGGGTACAAATTTAAATATTTGTTGGTAAAGGTAATGTTAAGTAACCTAAACAAATTTTTGATGGTCGTTTACTGTAATAGAATAGAAAACTTAATTAAATTTACCATAGAAAAAGATTATTTTAGTTTTATGTTAAAATTTATATTACAAACCTACCTGCAACACTTCAAATTGAAGTGAAAATATCATTTTTAGTTTTTTCTCTTCTGAACTGTAAACTACTTCAGTATCTTTGTACCTTTTAATCATGGCCAAATCACGTAACCATCCCTTTTTTAACGTAATGGTTCCTGTTATCGGAAGCTGGAAATTAACAAGTACTATTTTAAATACCATGTACCACAAAAAAAAGCAAAATCAATCTTGCATTTTACGACAGTAAAAATGCTTATTATACTGCATATATAATACTTATAATGCATTTTATAAATCTTAATTTCAAATTTAAATAGGTAGTTGGATTATGTATTTTCAATCATATTATTTGAGAAAAAATTATATAAACTCAAATGTTAATGCTACAGAACTAAAAAGCTGTATTAAAATCGAAAGATATTCAAGAAAGATAATGTATATTATCTAATAATTAGTAAAAGCAAATGAGGAACTAAAACTCTTAACGATTGTTCAATACGAGTACGAAAAATTTTCAACTTCGGGTATTTTAAAATGCTATAAAGACAAAAAGCACAAAAAACATATTTTTTAAGGAAAATTCGATCCATCTTGTTGGGGATCTTTCTCGTGATCTTCGGTCTTCTACCTTTCCTGGAAGAATACGTCTTTCCATGTTTTTTTATGTCTGTTCTTATAGCATGTCCAAAGTATTTTAATTGTTGGACATAAATATGAAAGCCGTTTGCCAACTTTTAACTCATTTAACCCTTTGAGAACGTACTTTTTTTTATTTATATTAAATGGCGAGTAATTTGTTTTTTTATTCCATATTAGGTCAAAACATAGACAAATCAAAGGTTTTGTATATTTTATTTTTGTAATTATTAGAAAAACGGTGGTACCATGTGGAACCACTAGGCCACCAAGGAAAAAATGATTTAGCATGAAATGGAATGAAACAATTTTTTAAAGTTATACTTATACACGCGCGCTCGACGTTGGAAATTTGTACTGGAGTGAATCTGTGATAAAAAAAATAAATAGTAAGATATGAGTAAAAGAGAGACTGAAGATATATTTTCTTTCTCGAGAATAAAAATGTTCCTTTTGTATACATATTAATATTATATATATATATATATATATATATATATATATATATATATATATATAATAACAATAACGGATTGATTACGGCTGTCGCCGCTTCTCCGCCCCCAATTTTCATCTTTTTCTGTCATACGCAGTTGCCTCCTCTAAGTCTCTTGCCGCCATTGCTTCATCAATATCGTTGCGCCAACTTCTCCGTGGTCGTCCTCCCTTTCTTCTTTCAAGAGGGATCCATTCCAGTACTCTTTTAGGCCATCTGTACTCTGGCATTCTTTTAACATGTCCGAACCAGATTAATTGTTTTCTTTCTATGTCATCATTGATATTTCGCTCCATTTTCATTTCCTTTCTTATTTGTTCGTTCCTAACTCTTTCTAGTTTCGATCTACCGCAGCTTCGTCTCAGATAATCCATTTCTGTCGTCATAAGTTTGTTTTTATTAGCTTTGGTGACGTCCCATACTTCCGAACCGTAAAGTGTAATACTTTGGACTATACTACCGTAAATGTGTTTTTTGGTTTCTCGTCGAATTGTTTTTTGCCAGAGAAGAGAGTTTATGACACGGGTCGCTGCTCTACCCTTGTTTATTCTTTTCCTGATTTCATCTGCGCCTTCTTATTGAAAATGACCCCCAAATATTTGCAGTATTGTACGCCTTTGATTTTGTCGTCTTCCAAGACTAGGTCACATATTTCATCTGTTCCCACTGATAGATATTCACATTTTGTCATATTCATGTTTAGACCTGTCACCTTATATTCTTCTTGCAGTTTTCTTACCATATAGCTAAGATCGTAGCTATCTTCGGCAATTACTACCTGATCATCCGCAAAGAAAAGCCATTTCTACATTTTTTTACCCATTTCACTAAGGATCTGTCCAAATAGATTTTAAATAAGGTGAGTGACAGACAGCAGCCTTGTCTTAGTCCGTTTGTTGTTTGAAAAGGAGAGGTGATTTCTTGTCCCATTTTAATTCTTGCAAAGTTTTGTTCGTAGTATTTTTTTTTGAGTGACGTTAATAAGAATATATATATATATATATATATATATATACATATATAATATATATATACATATATAATATTATATATATATATATATTATATATATATATATATATATATATATTATATATTATTAATATTATTATTTATGTGATATGTTTTGTATTATTCATTAAATGTTCATAATTATTTGTATTTCAAAATAATCACTGTATGACCGAGACCTAATAATTTTGAAATTCATTAGTGTCATGTCTAATTGGCAAATCTTTTACGCGTTTGGTTCATACACAGGTGTATGTGAGTTCGAATCCCAATATGAATTTCCTTTTTTATTTTTAAAACATTTAAAAACCTCACGTTAATCTTAATAAATATATGTAATCTACGTAAAAATGCTAAATTTTAAAATAAAATGAAAATATACAACATAATCAGAGTTGTTGTTTTTTTATTTTTATCTTCGTAAAGTAAGTAATGTATATTGGCAGTTTTAAATATTTATGAATATTGCATTTTAATTTGTATTGTATTATTATATTGAATTATGTTGCAGTGTATTGTATTGTAATTTTTATATTAATAACAAAATAAACAATGAATTTTACTGCAGAGTATGTGTAAAACATTTTTTTGCATTTAACTCCTGTTATACATATATGAAAATAAAAATATATATATATGTTCATTAAAATATTGATCCAATCCTTCATTCACTATACTCCTATTACAGGTCAAATGTTTATATACAGCAAACGATGCACCATATACCTATATACCTAATTCTTTTTCTCTTTCTGCTCTCTCTTACCTATAACATTAAATATGTAATGATTGTGCAGATTGATACCCATATAAATTTGTAACGGCGAACGCGTGTATAGAAGTTTAACTTCTACCGGTAGTCCCACTGGACTGCCACACCCGCTTTTTTTAGGTAGACATAAACCTACTTTACATGAGTAGAGTGCCATCTTGTACGAGTAGGAGTTGCCCTGGTATTGCAGTATGTACAACGTACTTTGGTTCCATGCAGGGGCATATGGGCTGCTTTGCCAGTTCTTATTTCTAGAAGAACTTGTTTTTTGAACATGTTACTGATGCTTGATTTGTCCATGGTTCTTCTTCCAAATTTTGCCATTTGGAATTCTATCCTCACATCGTGTATACATCGCATTGCATCTGATGGTCCCAGTGTACGATTACTCGGGTAGTACACATATTATTAGATAATAAGATATAAAAGAGACATGCTTTCGTTCGAGTTCAGGGTCTCAATCTGCCCAATCCCTTCACTCGTGACGTACCAGTATCTTAGTCTGTAGAAATACAAGAACAGTCAAACGACACTGAGGTCTCAATCTGCCTACTCCTCACTGTCGAGGAACAGTTGACAAATATTTTATAATATCTGTCATCTATTTAAGAATCTTAATAAGATATTTTAGCTACTAAATTTATATATATCGTTAACACTTGTTAGGGGTAAGTTGATTTCTTTAAACATATTTAATATTTAACTAATATTCAGTATCACTTTTGGTAATTTTTTATACCTCTCTTCTAGTTCTTTTTGTACATGATCTACACATCATGTGTTTTTTAACTAATTTAGTTTAATATTAATTATATTCATTTAATAATAGTTGTCATCAGGTCTGTTTTTTTTAATTGTTTTTCTGTGACAAGAAAATTTAAAACGTTTGCAGTCACAAGGTTTCTCATTTTAATTTTTGTCCTTATAAATTTTTCCTGTCCACCCTTTGGTGGGACATATTCAAACCATATAAGTAGGAGTTCTTGAGCCTCAGAACTTTCCGAAAACATCGTCAAACATGGGATAAGAACTTCAGCTGCTTTTCAGAATATAACAACAAGTGATCCAACTGTACAAAGCCAACAGTACATATAACAAAAAGCCATAAGGATCGTTTCTAAATTTCTGTAAAGCTTTAGGCAGGAATTGATTTGATTTTTATGAATGTTATAATGTAGAATCATTTGTGTACCATAAATATGATCAGTTAATATCTTAATTTATTTGTCCCAGTTACACATTTTTTTATTTGCATTTAAGATAAGAGGTTCTAACACTTGGGAGACTGACCTAGACAAATCCTTAACAATTATCTCGCAAAGAAAGTTATGCGTTTCAGACGGTAGTTATCTTGTTACACTGTATATCGCTCAATAAAGGGTTACAGTTACGTTCGTTGCGTCATCGCCTTTGATAATGTATTTTGCATTTGCGGAATAATTTTTAGGAAAATGCATTTCTATGTATATATAAAACCTGACCAATACAAAACATCGGTCAAAAAGCCTACATCCTTTATATTTAATAAATTTGATTAAATATTTTTTTATATTAAAACAACAACAGAACAACAAAATGTATATGCCATGAACACATACTTCAAGAAACCAGCATACTGAAAATGGACGTAGATATCTCCCGATAAAAAGACGAAAAACGAGATCGATTACTTCTTGTGTGGGAACTAAGCAATTTTTGGGGATATAACTGCTCTCAATCTTCTTATTAAACAGACGAAATTCTTATTAAACAGACGAAAACTAGTAGAAATAGGCCACATAATTATTGAAATCTTATAGATCAAATTAAAATACGACAGAAAGGAGATGAGTACAGAGAAGTCCCAAGAAAAGAATTTGTAGAACATTATCAACAAGAATATTCCGACATGAACACAATTAATAAAGAAATGCAACGAAAGCTCTTGAAAGCAGGACTGACTGTTGCAGAGAAAATGAAAAATAAAGAAGACCGAATACGTGAAAGAACAAAACGATTGATGGAAAAGAGACGCGCATTTCTAAGCTCAAGAAAACGAAACACCAATGATTTCGAAGAATTGAATAAACAAATAAAGAACGGAGTAAAGGAAGATTTAAAAATCTATAATGAAAACATGGTAGAAAAAATAATAATAAAGAACCGAGGCCTGAAATGCTTAAGATTAAACTTAGGAAAGCCTATAATAATCTCATTGAAGGATAAAGATGGAAAAGAAATAAGAGAAAAGAACGAAATCCTAAAAGTTACTCAAACATATTACCGTGATTTATATTCATCAAACAAGAATTCAGATAACACTGCAAACAAAGATCTTAAGAGAAAGATAACGAATGTCAACTCAGAAATACTCCCTAACATAGAATCCTTCGAAATAAAACAAGCTATGGCAACTAAAAAACAATAAGGCTCTGGGCCCAGATCGATTGCTTGTAGAAATGTTAAAAGATGGGAGTGAAATTATTCTCGAAGAATTGAAAGCATTTTCAACGAATTTCTTCACAGAGGAGAAGTTCCAGATGATTGAAATGAAAGTTTGACAATAATTCTCTTCAAAAAGGGAGACAGGGGAGATCTAAAGAACTATAGGCCAATCTCCCTGCTTCCCCAAATGTACAAACTGTTTATGAAAGTAATAACTAACAGGTTAACGTCGAAGCTCGATAGCTATCAACCGGTAAAGCAGGCAGGATTCCGAAAGGGTTGCAGTACAGCAGATCATCTTCTTACAGTCAGAACTCTAACAGAGAAAGCCAATGAATATTATTTAAACTTATACATTAGCTTCGTTGATTATGAAAAGGCATTCCACTTCATAGAACTTTGGCCAATAGAGAGAGATATGAACAACTGCAGGATAGACTCCCGATACAGAATGCTCATACATAATATTTACAAGAAAGATACAATCAAAATACAAATAGATGCGAAAACCAAAGCTACACCAATCAACAGAGGAGTTCGTGAAGGAGATGTTATCTCACCAAAGCTATTTACACTTGGACTTGAAGACGTGTTCAAAGACATTAACTGGACAGATAAAGGAAAAAACGTTAATGGAAGAAAACTAAGTCATTTAAGATACGCTGATGACATTGTAATATTCGTTGCAAGTTTCAAAGAACTACAGACCATGATGACGAAACTATTTCAAGCGCTTCGGAAATAGTAGGTCTTAAGATAAACTTGGAAAAAAACAAAAATAATGAAAAATATACCGAACATAAGCAAAATATCGTTGAACGACATAAATTTAGGAACAGTAAGCGATTACATCTACCACTGGGACAGATAATGAAAGCTAACAAAGAAAATCAAACTGCCAAACTTACCATAAGAATAAGATTAGCGTGGACAGGATTTGGAAAACTGAGTTGGATCTTAAAAAGAACTAAAATAGCATAATATTTGAAAACCAGAATTTACGATCAGTGTATCCTTCCTATACTCACGTGTGGCTCACAGACGTGGACACTCACCAAGTCTAACATGGATAAAATAGTAAAAGCACAAAGAGCGATGGAAAGATCAATGCTCGGGGTGAGACTCATAGACAGAAAAAACAAACAAATGGATTAGAAGCAAAACGAAAGTAAAAGACGCAGGAGAACATGCTGCCAAATTAAAATGGAGCTTCGCAGGACACAATGCCGGACTGAAGGATAAGAGATGGAACCACGAAATTCAACAATGAAGACCATGGTTTGGTAAGAGAAGCAGAGGAAGACTACAAATGAGATAAGCGGATGATATTAAGAAGATCGGAGGACACAACTGAAAGCAAGTGGCGCAAAATAGAAGACACTGGATTGATTTGGGGGAGGCCGATGTCCAAAGTTCGATTACTTAAGGCTGAAGAAGAAGAAGAAGAAGATTTAATATTTCATTGTTGAGAATATTTTTTAATTATTTAATATTATTAAAAAAAAAGAAACTTACATTTAAAACTGTGTCTGGTATTTGGCATGGATCGTATCCATAATTTATAAGGTAATTTCCAACGTTTTCCAAAACTTTATCTATAAACTCATCTAATACTGCCGTTATATTTCCAGCACTAAAATTAAATAGTAAGATTTAAATTTGTATATATAAATCTAGAAAGCGTTATATTTTGAAGAAATATATGTACAGTAGAATATCGAGAGCGCAAAGGGCAATCTAAAGACTCCTCAAAAAGTACACCTCAATATAAACTTGTAAAAACATAATATTTTCTTGTTAAAATAGTCTATTGTCCTAAAAAATGAGATAAATTATTGTAATAAAACAAAATATGAATGACAAAGCATCAAATGAGATAGTAGTACTTAGAGAATAATGACTATATTATAACGATTAAAAATATCAAAATAAACTTTCATAAAATTTAAAACGCATTTCGGAAGTTACTGAAGAAAATATTTCCAGGGAACAATATAACGAAAATGTTCATTATATTTACTGATTTGTCTCAATCATCGACATAAACTTAAAATGCCACATTTTTTATTAACTCTTATTTGCTGGAAATGTCTTTTCAAGTATTAGAATATTTTATCAAATACTGAATCATACAGCAGCAGTTCCAAAAAAAATCTAGTCTATCTTTTGATGTTGCCCCCAAATTGTGGGCAAAACCTCCAGCCCTTAGATGTGGTTGTTTTTGGGCCTTTCAAGGCATATTATAATGCTGCATGTGATGCTTGGCTACTGAATCATACAGGAGCGCTCATCTCAATATACAATATCGCTGAGTTGGTTGGTACAACACACGACCAAGCTCTCGACCTCAAAAGATTCGGTCAGGCTTTGAAAAAACAGGAATATATCCCTTCAATCCAAATGTTTTAAGAGAGAGCGACTTTCTCGGATCGGCAGTGACAGATCATGCTATGGACATTGTAGAAGAGGAGTCCTTCAATAACGTCCTTCCAGGACCATCGGCTGTAAATTCTATTTCTTTAGACCCAAGTCCTAAAACACCCTCTAGAACTACCAAAGAAAATAAAAATTTCATTTCACCAGAGATGTTGCAACGCCATCCAACGCCCGAGAAAGATGCGCTCGAAGCAAAACGGAACTAGTTGGTTTCTTCGACAATGAAACATACAGTTACACGTGTTGTGGATATTGAGAGTTCTTTGGATGAAAGTGAGATTCAAAGAAAAGCCAAAAAATATATTTTACGTAGGACTTGTTGTATCGTGCAACAATCCAGAAGTAGAGGTCAATTTTATGTGCAAAACCAACAAAATAGATGCCTCGTGTTTCGTATTTCTCACTGTTCCTGATATTGCTTTCGCGGAAAAGAAAACGTCGGATTTGTTCTTTCAAATAGAACGCCATTTACATCTAACGAATCTTACTATTTCAAAATAAATTTGAAATAAATTTTGGTCATCTAGACGTTTGCTTATTTTCTAGACGGTCTCTAGACGTTTGTTTATTACCGAAACAGTGAATAAAAGCCTTCTGCAACTGAAAAAACCAAAAACAACATACAATGAATTAGACAAAGAAATATTACAACAAATAAAAAGAAGGAAGATCTTAAATAAATCTAACAAAAGGGGAACCGACGACTATAGAGAACTTAATAGGCAGATTAGAAAAGGAATCAGACAACAAAAAAGAAAAGAAAACGAAAAATGAATAACAACAACTCTAAAGTAATCTTATTACACAAGAAAGGTGATAGTCGAAAATTGGAAAACTACGAACCCATCAGCCTACTGTCACACCTGTTTAAAATACTCACCAAAGTCATAACTACTCGACTAACAAGGAAATTAGACGAATACCAACCATATGAACAGGCAGGTTTTAGAAAAGGCTATTCAACTTTCGATCACCTGTTAACCACAAAAATATTGATAGACAAATGTAACGAATACAAGTTTCCAGTTTTCCTAGCATTTGTAGACTACGAAAAAGCTTTCGATACCATAGAACACACGGCCGTAATAAACGCAATGCAAAATTGTAGAATAGACGGCAGATATATTAACTTAATAAAAGAAACTATGAACCAAGCTACAGCTACATACTACCTAAATGAAAATGAACACACGAACCCTGTACCATTAAACAGGGGAGTCAAACAGGGAGATACTTTATCACCCAAACGGTTCACCTTAGTTTTGGAGGACGTTTTTAAAAAACCTAAATTGGAAATATAAGGGAATAAACATCAATGGCCGCTACCTCAGTAATCTACAAATTGCAGATGACATAATCCTGATAGCTACTGACCTAGAAGAAATGCAAACCATGCTTTTAGAACTACATACCGAATCTTCTAAAATAGGACTGAAAATGAATTTAAACAAAACAAAAGTCATGCACTCCGAAGACACCGTGACAATAATAAACTATAAAGTTATAGAAAAAGTTAAAGAATATATATACTTAGAACAAAAAATAATAATAAATAGGGAAATTCAAACTGAAGAAATAAAAAGAAGAAGAAGGTTAGCTTGGGCAGCATTCGGTAAACTGAACTATATACTCAGAAATCAAAAAATTTAATTACATCTTAGATCTAAAGTTTTTGATGCATGCATTATTCCGATATTAACTTATGCGGCACAAACATGGACAGTCACAAAAAAGAATATGAATATACTTAAAGTCACTCAACACGCGATGGAAAGAGCAATGCTAGGTTTATCACTTAAGGACAAGAAAACAAACACATGGATAAGACAGAAAACCAAAGTCACCGATGTGGTGCAAAAATCATTAAAGTTGAAATGGGAATACGCTGGACATGTAGCTAGGAGTGATCTAAACAAATGGCACAGATCAATTTTAACCTGGAGACCATACCAACACAAAAGACCCAGAGGCAGACCTCATATGAGATGGACAGATGATCTGAAAAAGACTGCCGGGAAAAATTGGCTACAAGTAGCGTACAATAAAAAACAATGGAAAGGAAGACTTGAAGAGGCTTATGTTCAGATGTGGAAGTGAATGGCTAGACGAAGAAGAAGAAGACGGTTGCTAATTAGCCTCCATTTCATATATCAGCTCTTATGTTTTCTTGGGAAATATGTAAGTATTATACGAAGATGTATTGCCTATTTTTTTATGGTTATTATTGAACTATGGAGTATATCATGTGTCTCACTGTTAACTAGTAACATGTCTGAACGTGTACCAGGTGTGGTACACACTGAGACATGTGCAAGGTTATTTTTAAAGTTACATAACTTTTTTGAATTAAAACTCCAGGCCCTCATATTTGCGGAAATGATACATAAATTACCAATAATCATTATGGCTAAACTGTCAGTTCTTATCGATGATTAAAAAATTATATCGCCAATAATTCATTTTCTGTCTTATTGTCCACCACCTTCCCCTACTCGTATTGCTGCTTATACATTAAGATCAACATATAATAAATTAAAACAAGGGATAGTTAGAAGTTAATGATGAGTGTGAGTGATCATGTATTGATATAACTCAAGAAATAACACATACCTGTTTTTTTCAAAAAAATAAATTGTTTCCATTTGCGTTACTAATAATTCAACATCAACATGTCTCAAGATTTCTTGGGAGAGTATTTTTGTAATTATCACATCGTGGGTTACAACAAATGGTACAAAAATTGCTAGCAATAGTAAAACTTTCATCGTGATCAATATAAAATATAATTTACACGTTGCTTTGTTTTATATTATTTGATACTCGAAACTCTGGTATAGAATCAATGAAAATACCACAATATACAACCACTTAAATATTGATTCCTATGAATATTTAATATTGTTGGGTGTTGCAATATGTTTATTTTTAATTTTCTTAGACAATATAATATCGATAACATATTATTTTTTCGAATATGATAATACATTTAATCTTCCACTATGAGATTAGGAAAATGTTTTCGTATTAACACGTATTTCACAAATGTTTACAAACTGTGCGTTACACATATTAGTCATTTCACTATCACGGTCAATCATCATACTTCTAGCAGAATGACTACCAAACCATTTGTGCTTTGCTGATGCTATTATTGTGGAAGATAATATGCATTTATCTTGTTTAATGTTTATTATACAGTTTTTTAACTAACTTCATCTACAATATTTTTTTATCATATTTCTGCATTTCTTTTTCCAACTTCTGATTAAAGATTTTCAATTTTATTTATCTGATCCTTCTATCTCATTTTTGGTATTTCTCTTTTTATTATGTTTACCCCTTTTTATAATGTGGCTTAGTAAGCGATTTAGTTAGTGTTTTTTATATATAAAAATATTATTTCTGTGCCATATGGTCTTACTGGTTTAATTGATGCTCTTTGGATTTACAATTTCATATGTATGGTGAGCTGTTTATTTTTTAGTAAGTTTTAGTATTTTCAGTAAGTTTTATTATTTGCTTACACCCGTCAATTAATTTCTACGCTTCTCTCATGATTTTTATTAAAAATTAGCCTCCTCTAATGCTCCATAGTTCCTATTGTTCATATATTGTGCAGTTTGTATCCAGTTTATGTTTATACATTGCAAATTGTCAGTTCATTTTGTTAGAAGACACCCCTTACTTCAAAAGATCTAAGTAACAATATGCATCTTCATACCGATCAATTAGCCTTGTCCATTCTGTAAGACGTAAAAAAAATTAATTTCTGCAAACCATTCATTTAAATTGTCGCCTTTTAAAAGAACAGTACAATAGCCTTAATTTATCGGAATTCACCTGTCCCACTAACCTACAAATCACCTAAGAAGAGTGGTCAGAGGGTTTGTTTCTATCCCATACCAAGGGAAGATAGATCGAAACAAGACATCGCGATGTTAACATCTCCAGCTTTTCCTGGACGTATACGTCCCTTGCGTCGCAATGCGTAGATGCTACTCTTCTATTAGCCTAGCTGCAATTAATATACGATATTTACATCGAATATCTAAAGCGAAGACTCGACAACAATGATATTAGTTAGCATAGTGAGAATCATAGCATAGTGAGAAATGTCTATTGAAACCCACAGACTATGGGATCATTAGATGAAAATATCACGGATATGTAACAGATAAGTAGAGAAGCGAGATAAGGCTATGTTCTTTCACCATTATTATTTAATATATACTCCGAAGATTTTTATAGACAAACACTTGAAAACTACAGAAGGAATCAAGATAAATAGTAAAAATATAAATAACACTCGGTATGCCGACGAGAGTCATTATCGCTGAAAGTGAGAAAGATCTGCATGTGATACTGGGGAACAGTTTGATTTAACGATAAACATAAATTAAACAAAAACCATGGTTAACAGTGAGAGGGGTAAAGTTATAACAAGGATCCAAATAAAAAATGAAGATATTGAACAATTGGACAAAATAAAATACTTAGTAGTTTGGATTACTGACGATATAAATTTGAATTAATTAATTACCTGGAATTAATTTCCAGGTAATTTCTGTGGAATAAAGAAAAATAACAAGGTACATAAGGCCCCATAAGCTAGTTGATCAGCATCATAAAAGCCATGATCGGAAAGGGTAAGTATGGTTTTTTGTCAATTAAATATCTAGGTATAGACATATTGGAAATGTAGATAACAAAGAAAAAAACTTTTTCATATTTTGCAAAATAGAATTATCGAAAACGGGCGTGTCTCAAGATATTTGGGATTGTTATAGTTTTTGCATAACAAGTTTAGTTAGTTTAGTTAGTTTAGTTACTACTTGCACTTTAAGTTTTCCGTGTACGATAAGCAGAATGACCATACCCAAGGGGTCAAACACAGCAGAAATAAAAGAGAAAAAACTACGTTTAGTTAAAACAAAGGTTCTTGAATATTAGTGGTATGAATAAGTAAGTATTTAAACAGTGAGTTCCATTTCAGTCCTAGTATTTTACTAGGGGAGTTATTTATACTAAAGCAATTTCGTAGGATGAAGATATGAGATATTGTAGATAAAACTTTATATAGTAGTTCTAAAATAAAATAGGGTCAAAATCGTATTTTTTTAAGTGAAAAAAATCGTTGGCGTGCCCTACAAAAAGACTGCCCCAATTTTTGGGGTTTGTTTGCAAGAAAAGGCTTTTCAACTTGGTAATGACTCGATGGTAAAATAAGATTGGTATTTTGAAATATTTCTTCTGTAAATTATTTACTTGGACCATTGATTTTTTGGTAGCGGAATAGTTTCTAATTTACAGAAACTCTTCATACGACAGGTCAACTCATCTTCTTTTCCGAATTTAATATTATAAGTTGATAAAAAGAATGGGAAACTTTATTTTTGTTTTAGGACAAATTTAAGCGGCTCCTAGGTATATTACCGGGGGTAGCGGGTAGGTACTTTTCACGATCCCGGTGGAAACAGACCTACTTCAGGGATTAGCGACCCTGCCCACGCTAGCTCATGATATTCCACCCGTGGAGTCTCATGTCCCAGAGCATTTATCCTACACCCTCCATATTTATCCCTCCTAGTCCTCAAACCTGGTGAAGGGCAGCAGCGATCACCAGTACCAACGCAAGGCGCAAAAGAAATTATCTTGGACCGGCTTGTTAATTCCACAGGCATGACTAGGACAGTTTGAATGGCTGTGGTACTGCGGTGTTGAAAGGAACGGGATACTACAACACTACCTTTTCCCCAGGATAACTCATCTCATTATGGCAGAACAAAACAAAACTCAGATGGCCCTCAGTCCCGGGCAGGCCTTAGATGGTCAGAGGGTGCGAAGAATCTCCCGGTGCCAAATAGATGATATCCAACGAATTTCAACATAGAATGTTAATAGTCTTTACGAACCAGGAAGACTACACAACCTTATAAAGGAAATGAATCGGCTGAAAATAAATATAATGGGAGTCCGAAGTCCGATGGTCTGGATCTGGACAGTTTACGAAAGATAAGATTACTATGTATTACTCGTGTAGTGACCCAACAGATAGACATCACCGACATGGATTGGCTATTACTCTTGACAGGAAGATCAGTAAATCGGTGACAGATTTTGTTCCAATTTCCGAACGAGTCATGTTGATCAAAATGACAGGCAAATCAGTAAACATAAATGTGACACAAGCATATGCACCAATAGCAGATAAGTCAGAAGAAGAAATAACTAAGTTCTATAAAGATCTGGAAAAAGCAATAAGACTAACAAAGAAAGAGGACATAAACATAATAATGGGCGACTTTAACGCCAAGGTGGGTAAAGGAAGATATGAAGACATAATTGGAGAGTACGGCCCTGGAGTTAGAAATGAGAGAGGCGACCTGCTGTGTGAATTCTGCCAGGAGAACGGTTTTGTCGTAATGAACACATGGTTTCAGCTCCCACCTCGTAAGTTATATACTTGGAGATCACCAGGAGACCGTCCAAATCGAATAATTAGAAACCAAATTGACTACGTTTTAATAAACAGAAGATTTCGTAACGCTATCAAAAGAATCGCAGCATATCCAGGTGCTGATATTGCATCCGATCATAATCCGCTAATAGCAGATGTGAGGTTAAAACTAGAAAAAATTAAGAGAACAAATACAAATACCAGCACACCTATAAATACACGAGAACTGATGAGAGACGAAAATCTGAAGAAGAGTTATGTGAATCAAATTAATAAAAGAATGCGAGTAATAGAACAAAATGATGATATCGAAGAGATGGTCAATGATATTAAAGGAACGATTCTGGCAGTAAACAGGGAAGTTAAAACACAGATCAGAAAGAGAAAGCATAACGAATGGATGACGGACGAAATTATGGATCTAATGGAAAAGCGAAGGCAACATAAACAACAACGTAATCAAGACAAATACAAACAGATACACAAAGAAATTAATATAGAAGCAATAAAACTACTAGACGAGGAGAATATCGAAATCTTGATAAGGCTGTTCAATAGGATTTATGATACTGGTTACATTCCGCGAGAATGGCTGCAGTCATCCTTTATGATGATCCAAAAAACAGCTAATGCCACAAAATGCAATGAACACCGCTTAATCAGTTTAATGAGTCACTTGCTGAAACTCTTCCTTAGGATATTACACTCAAGAATGTACAAGATACTAAAAGAATTTAGCGGGTCAACACTATTCGGTTTTAAGGGAGGACTAGGAACAAGAGAGGCAATTTTATGTTTGAACACCTTAATACAAAACTGCTCAGATCAACGAAAAGATGTCTACCTCACCTTCATCGACTACGAGAAGGCATTTGACAATGTTAAACATAACATCATGATGGAACTACTACATAGGGCCAACATTGACCAGAAGGAGATCAGAATTATTCAGAATCTATACTGGAACCAAATGGCAAAGGTGAGGATTGATCAAGACCAATATACGGATGAATTTGAAATCCGAAAAGGTGTCCGCCAAGGCTGCATACTCTCTCCGATGCTTTTTAATTTATATGTTGAAAATATATTTGCTGAAGCATTAGAAGATACGGAATTAGGCATTAAAGTGAACGGCATACCAATTAGCAACCTACGCTATGCGGACGACACAGTGATTATAACTGATAATTTGGAAGATCAGCAGTTATTACTTGATAGGGTGAATTGCATAGGTAAAAAATATGGCCTCAAAATCAACATTTTGAAAACGAAATATATGGTCATTAGCAGAAACCCTCCAGAAAACCCGATAATATGCATAGGTGACAATCGTATAAATCGCGTGAAAACTTTTAAATACCTTGGCACCACAATCAATGACCAATCGG